GGCCCTGCTGTTGGACCCTCCCTCTCCCCGCCACTGACCCTGCAAGCTGGACCCTCTCCTCCCCTCATGGCCCCTGGCCCTGCTGTTGGACCCCCCCCCCCCAGGCGTTCTTGTCTCTACAGCTTCAGTTCGCAGTGAATGGCTCCTTCAGGGGCCCTCGTGTGCCCTGGGGCCCACTTCAGATTTCAGGCTGCTGTCAACACTGGCTAGGAAAGACTGGCAGACAAATGGGGTTCTCCCTGCTGAGCCGTGGCACATGAATTCTGGTCTCGTCCTGTGATTGGCCTGCTATTATCAAAGCCCTTCAATCTGTACACCTGCCCTGGTTTACAGCTGGGTCAGCAGGAGCAGCAGATGGAGCATGCTCAGTCCATGGAATCCCAAACTCACATTTTAGTTTTAGACTGATTTTCTATAGCATACTCCATTTTATTCTTCTGTTCTGAGCCATGAAACCTTTAGGTGTTTTCTTTGTTAAACAGTCTTCTATTTCACTATACATTATCAAGAGACTATGAGTGCTGACCATCTGAATATGAGCAGGGAAACAGGGGACTTAAATGTTTTTTATTGTATCATGAAAAAAAAGCCAAAAAAGTGTGGATGTCAGATGCACACCAACCACAAAATTCTGTTGATTCTCTTGAGTATCCCTCTTGGTGGTTTGAATAGGAATGGCCCCCACAGACTCATGTGTATGAGTGCTTGGCCCATGGGGAATTGGCACTATTAGGAGGTGTGGTCTTGATGGAGGAGGTGTGTCACCATGGGGGTGGGCTTTGAGGTCTCAGATGCTCAAGCTACACTCAGTGTGGGACCCACTCTCCTTCGGCTGCCTGCAGGTCAAGATGTAGAACTCTCAGCTCCTTCTCCAGCACCATGTCTGCCTGCACGCTGTCATGCTTCCTGCCATGAGGATAATGGGCTAAACTTCTAAAACTGTAAGTCAGCCCCAATTAAATGTTTTCCTTTATAAGAGTTGGCATGGTCATAATGTCTCTTCATAGCAACAGAAACCCTAACTAAGACATCCCCACATTCCCAGAAATATGTGACTCTAACCAGTTATCTCCAGATGTAGCAGCTTTGTTCAGGGTCTGGGACAGGGCCACGCTGGTTAGATTATCCTTATGGTCACGAGCCTTAAATATCTCTTGCCCAACTTCTGGAAAGTGAGTAGAAATGGCCAGAAATGTCCCCCGGGAAAAGCCAATCATGATGTAACCATCACCATACCTACATCAGCAAAGTGATCACAGGATTAAAAAGGAGGTGAACCATCAAGGGCAAAACGGCAAAAGCCTTCATATGATAGAATAAAATTCAGAGGCCCTACTGTGTATCAGGTAACATGCTGGGTGGTGTTACACGTGAAATCAGACTGCAGTGTTGCAATGAGGAGAATGCCACACATAGAATGTAATGTTACAGACAGGCAAACATCAGTAAGAAAACACGGGTCTTTTTCTATAATTAGTTTTTTGTACATACCAACTATAGCAGACGATGTTGCCATAGGCTTGCTGAAACTCCAGATCAACTGGGTTATCTGGTTCATTCAGATAAAAAAGAAACAACATTTTCTTGCCAACTACTGCACTTATCTGCCAGGAGAGATCAGGAGATCGTGGAATGAGTTACTTAGAATTTCACGAGAAGACCAACGAGCAAGTCCAAACAGCCAACCCCATTACGAGCACAGCGAGCCAAAGCTGGATGTGCTAAATGCTATCATTAGTATAAAATCTAACAAAAGTAGCCAAAAGCATTTATGATGGAGAGTCTGGCAAAGGCCTTTGGCTTTACGCATTTTCAGTATCCCTCTGAGATACACTACAATGCCTTTGTGGATGTCTTTTGAACTCTCTGTACTCTCGTCAGTTACTGTGCTCTTTAGGAAAGTGACCTGGCATAGTTCTGCTGCAGCTGAATTCACTTTTGCAGTACAGAATTTTCCATTCTAAGAGGCTACTTGATTGTGAGCCAGCCAGGAGGGTTATAGGTGTGCTCTTCTACGGGTAAGCTAGCTAACTACCATCACTTTCCATCACCCGCAGGTGAGTACGCCTGAAAAAGGATCCCTATGTTACTCACACAAAATCAGAACTAACTACAATTCTCACCGGAGGTGATCTTTATGCTCAAGAGAGAAAAGTGTATATTACCTTACGTTAAAGATGATAGTTGGCAACTGGGCGGTGGTGGCGCACGCCTTTAATCCCAGCACTCGGGAGGCAAAGGCAGGTGGATCTCTGTGAGTTCGAGGCCAGCCTGGTCTACAAGAGTTAGTTCCAGGACAGGAACCAAAAAGCTACAGAGAAACCCTGTCTTGAAAAACAAAAAACAAAAACAAAACAAAAAGATACTTGGCTATATTTCCTGGATTCCAAAATGTTAACAACTACAACAGCATCAAATCAAAACATAGCCTTTCAGGAAATAATGAAATTACCTCCTTACATATTTTTATGTTTATTATGAAAATTATCTGGATTCTAGAATATAATAGTACAGCAAGGAAATTGTACATGTTAAAGAAACACAAGCTATGATCTGTTTACCATCAGGAATGTGGAAAAAAAAACTTAAATCACATAGAAATCATTTTCCCTTTTTTTTTTTTTTTAATTTGTTTTGTTTTTGTTTTTGAGACAAGCCATTTCTCTGTGTGGCCCTGGCTGTCCTGGAACTCACTCTATAGACCAGGCTGGCTTCAAACTCCGAGATCCCCTGCCTCTGCCTTCCAAGTGCTGGAATTAAAGGTGTGCGCCACCACCTCTGGCCTTATTGTTTCCATTCTTAAAGGGATCTCTGTTTTCTCGAGCACAGAAATGGGCACGGCAACAGTAGCCATAACAGGAAACGTCCTCATCTGCTGGTATGGAGGAAGTTTGCAATGGCAAACACAACTTTGAGGTCTGAGAGATGAGACTTACCTTGGTTAAGAAACAACAGACATAACTTATCAAAGTCTGAGCCAGCCAAGAAAAGGGAACTGGATACACTGCAAAACTCCCTGAATGATTGGGTGTGGGCTTGAATCGGAATGCTTACTGTGTTCTCAGCGGAAGAAATTCGGTCATCGGTCTTGCTGGTGGAGAATTTGATGTCACTTGGCTCTGATTTCACCGGTGTCTGGGGGGTGGGGTGGTGTAAGATATCAATCATCACTGTGCAGACTCAAGTCACTCTCATCAGGATGGAGCTCAGGGACAGGACACATACCAAGCATGGCATGACTGAGCCCTGGGTTCAATTCAGAATATCTTCCCTCTCTTAAACAAACCTTAGAGAGTCATTCTGAATATTAATAAAACATGAAGCTTGCTAGGCGGTGGTGGTGCAAGCATTTAATCACAGCACTTGGGAGGCAGAGGCAGGCGAATCTCTATGAGTTCAAGGCCAGCCTGGATAGAGCAAGATCCAAAACAGTCTTCAAAGCTACACAGAGAAACCCTGTCTTGAACAAACAAACACCCACAAACCAAACTCAACCAAACAAACAAAAGCTCCACAAAGCTTGCTTTTATTTATGACTAAATTTGGATTATGAACCTTAAAATTCTGCCAAATACCTAGAAATTCTGGGTGAAACAGAATGTGCGTTTTTCTTAAATGGAAAGTTAAGCTCAAGGGAGGATTTACAGAGATCAGCAGCAAGTACCACACTAAAGGCAGCATGCATGTGAGTTCAAGCTGCAGCTTCTAGTGTGGCTGGAGACAGAAGGGTGGCAGGGGATCTGCTTCTTAGCTGTGGTCCAGGTCAGAAAATCCAACATTCATCTCAAGAACGTAACCCACGCCCTGCTCTCCTATCCTCACTAGAGTCTGTGGTTCCGGCTTACACACTGAGCAGTCTGGGAGCTCCTAGGGGGGGGAGGGGGAAATTAAATGAAAGGTGGAAGAAGCGGGCCCACCATACCCTGAAGGGTTGGGCCAAATGCTCCAAGTCTGATAAACCCTGCAGAGAATGAGCTTAAAGTCAAAAGAATGATACTCATGGAGGAACAAGACACTGAAATACCCTAAAACACAATCACGAGAGAGAGGAGAGCGAGACTTTAAAGAGACACAAAGCTAGGCATAAAAATGAGAAAGGACCGGGATGTAAAATAAATAAATAGACTAAAAAATAATAAAGGTTTTTAAATGTTTCTGTAGACCGCACTTTTTATTTTTCAGTTTTAATTTTAGATTTTTTATGTATATGATTTTGGCTTGCAGGTATGTCTGTGCACCGTGCGTGTGCCTGGTGCCCTCAGAGGTCACATGAGGCTGATAAAACAGGAGTTATGAAAGGATGGGAGCTGCCACATGGGTGCTGGGATTGAACCTGGGTCCTCTGGAAGAACAAGTGCTCTTCACTGCTGAGCCAGTGTCTGTAGCCCAGCAGACTATATTTGTGCTGTAGGAGATGCATTTGCCGGCTAGGCTCTAACAATGGCAGGGTTGGCTGCTGCAGCCTGTGTAGCTTTGCCAGTTTTTTTCAAATGTCCACCCCGAAGGGGTATATCATTTTTATCTACAATTCTATAACAGTTTTATAACGCGTGATCACAACGTATATCATTTTGTCAGTGTGACATGATGTGGGAGTGTCATATCAATCTGTTGATTTCATTGGCTGAGCAATAAAGAAACTGCTGGCCCTGATAGGTTAAAAGATAGGTGGGCGGAATAAACAGAATAGAATTTTGGGCGGAAGAGGAAGACTCTGCTCTGCTCCCGGAGAGACCTGACAGCTCTGCTGGAGCAGATGCCATGCTCAACTCTCCCAGGATGGACGGAGGCTAGAATCTTCCCGGTAAGCGCACCTTGGGGTGCTTACACACATTATTAGAAATGGGCTAGTCCAGGTGCGAGAATTAGCCTGTAAGGGCTAGAGTTCATGGGCCAAGCAGTTCTTAAATGAATATAGTTTGTGTGTTGTCATTTCGGGCATGAGCTAGCCAAGCGGCCGGGGTGTTGGGGACGCAGCCCCACCGCTCCTATTACAACAGTGACAGGTGAGCAACAATGTCTCAGCAATGCTTTGTCATTCCATAATTATGAGTTTCACCATTATCATCTGTGAATTATTTTTCCATGTATACATTACCTTTGAACACATTTCAAGTAGGATTTTAAAAGAACTACCAAGTACTTTCTAAAAACAAAATGTAGAATTATTAAATTTAAAACTCCCAGGAGGCTGAGGCAGAAGTATGGTCATGTGTTTAAAGCAAGCCTGGATTACATAATGAGTTCCAGGCTAGCCTGGACTACAGAGTGAGGCCCTGTCTCAAATGCAAAAAAACAGTAGGCTAGGATGGTTCAGTGGTAGGGCGTTTGCCGTGCACACATGGGACCCTAGGTTCAAACCCTAAAACTGCAAAACCAAGACAAAACAGCCAAACCGATCTCTAGACTCCATAGCTGACGTATGATAAGCTGAGCAGGACAGGGGCAAGCCAAGCATGGGTGACACTGGAGTGACTCTGAACCAGGACAGAGTCACGAATGAGACAATAAAAACCTGCAGTGTGTGCTTTGCCTACCACGTGACACCTTAAGTGGTGTGTCTAGCTTTGGATGAAGACTTCGTAAGGTTAGAAAGTGGAAACAATGATTTTGTACGCAAATACTGGCAAGATGTAATGAACTCTTGTGATGCTCTGTAGAAAAAGTATCCTAAGGTCATTCATGATTCAAGGAACAAACATGTACAACCCCTGACTGGGAAGTCCTGTATGGGCACCCAGACTGGGGGTGCCACAGCACATACAGTATACCTACCTTTCCGTTTCTAAGGGGCACCAGAATAGGATGCTCCGAATTGGAAGAGTTCTAGAAATCATGCCAAAGCAAACTACTTTTATTTTCTTTATTTTCTTTTTTTTTTTTTATTGAGAATAGGAAAAAAAAGTTTCCACCTCCTCTCAGCCTCCCATTTCCCTCCCCCTCCCCAGCAAACTACTTTTAGAATGCCAGGATCTTAAAAACTACGCTAGCTTGAGGAGCGGCATGACTCGGTGTATAAAAGGTGCTGGGCATCTACGCTTGAAGACCCGGGTCTGATCCCTAGAACCCACAAGAAGGCGGAAGGGGAGAACGGACTCCACAAAGGTGTTCTGACCGCCATTCTTGTGTGCGCACACACACACACGGTAATAATGAATAAAAGCTCTTTTAAAAAGATCTACACTAGTGATGCTATGGTTCTCCTCAACACAGCAGAGGCACGCATTTCTGCTTGACTTGTTCTAAGTATCCCAGACACAGAACCAACTCACTTCTTCCACCTTGTTCACTACAAATCTGAATCTCCATGCATACCTTCAACTAGCATGGGCAGCCTGGACTAGGCTGTCCCCTCTTACCTCTGCTCAGGCTGCTTTGCTTGCACAGAATGACAGACACTGCATTAACAACTAAGGTAAGTTTTCCCGGGGCATCTGGTCGTCTAGGTAGACTAACTCAGGACAGGCCCCCTGGGATCAGCTCCTTCACTAATTTCTTCTGTCCTTCCTTCTTTCCTTCCCTGGGGCTGAATGCACACATGACCCCGGGCACCAGCTCTCAGCTGGCAGATGGAGATGCATCCTAGGAAACAGCAGCGCTAAGATGGAAGGGAGCTGGCAGCCATGTAAGCAGCCTTCTTCTCTATTGTTATATGAGAAAGACAGAGGCAACCAATATCCGACTGCCATATTCTTGTAGTCCTTCTACTTTGGAACTTACAATTCAGTCACAACTGGTTTCCTTCCTTATTTGGTGCTGGTCAGGCCTGACATAGCCTTGCGCATGCGGGGTAAGGGCTCTACCACTGAGCCACACTCCTACCCTGCGTTATAACATCTGCCTGCACTCTGTCTTATTCAGGCTGTTTTCTGTCGTTTAAAGATCATAATCTAAATTTTTACTGATCTTTACCATCTTCCAGAGCTATAGAGCTTGTAAGCTGTACCACAAGATTTGGTAGCTGATCATGAAAGGCCATGTGTCTTTTAGAAAACTACCTAGCATCATGGCAGGAGTGTGTGTGAATATGAGGGCCATGGTGAGCACGGGGCTGAAGCAGGTGCAAGACAAGCTTCATCTTTTTTAAAAAAATAATTTATTCTTATTTTATGTACATTGGTGTGTTGCCTGCATGTATGTCTGTGTGAGAGTGTCAGATCTTGGGATTATAGACAGTTGTCAGCTGCCATGTGGGTGCGGGGAAATGAACCCAGGTCCTCTGGGACAGCAGCCAGCGCTCTTAACTGCGGAGCCGTCTCTCCAGCCCCAGCATTCTTGATCTTTAGAACAATCTTCACCTATTTACCAGAATCCCAAGAGAGCTACCTTAACTCCTTCCTGACTGTAAGGATTCCATCTCCTCCTACTAGGCTCCAACTCTTCCTGACATTATACACATGAGACAATGTAAACTTCTGACACACAAACCCTTGGGTGACAAACCACATTCAACCACTGTATACTCCACGGGACAGAGAGATCTACATGACAAGGAATCAGGACCTGCAGTGACTAGTGATTCTGTGTAGGAGCAGCAACCTGCAAGGAGCTGAACTTGGCTAACAACTACAGGAGTGAACTTAGTAACAGCCTTGTGGGAGGCCCCGAGGTGGAGGTACCCGAAGAAGCTGCATCTGGATTCCTTGTCGACAACCACTAAACACAGATGTTTTAAGCATCTGCATTTTGAGATGTTTTGTTATACAGCAGCAACTGATGAATACACGGCATTCCCAATTGTGTTGCTGTGGCACAGAGCAAGGTTTATTCATGTGCCTACACAGATATTCCAAGAACGTTTCAGTCAATACTAAAGTAAAGACAGTAGTTCAAAACATAATGTTCCCATTGGTGATATTAGTTAGCTACCAGCAACACAAGTTCCCTTAATACAATCCTCAGAGGATTAAATCAATCCTGGGAAATTTCAACAATAGTAGAATTCCATCTTAATTGAAATCTTGTCAGGATTACTTTGGAAATGATTTGACATATCAATAAAAGGTATTGGCTATAGAATAAGAAGCTTGATTTTGAGTCCAGAATCCTCTGGTTCTTAACATTTATCAGCATACATGCATAAAATAAAATTTCATCACAAACATACTCACTGAAACCACAGAGCTAATAATTCATTTAATACCAAAGGGGAAAACATATTCCTTTAACAGATAACATATTCATCTTAAAGAAGAATTTCCTAATAATACACAACAAAGGATTTGGGTGTGTGTGCATGCAAGTGTGACAGTATGAGTGTTCGTTTGTATCTGGGTGCTGCGCATGTGTATGGGTGCATGGGAACAGACACAAGTTGTTTCACATTTAAAACAGAAGATTGGGGGCTGGAGGGGGCTAGAAAGACAGATGGCTTAGTAGTTAAGAGCACTTGTTGCTCTTGCAGAGGACCCAGGTTCAGTTGCAAACCATATGGTTGTTTGCATCATCCAGGAAATTTGACACCCTCTTTTGACTTCTCTGGGTACCAAACATGTATGTGGTATGTACACATAACTGTGGGCAGATACTCATACACATAGAATAAAATAATATTAATATATTTTAAAATATTAAATTATATGCATATTCTACAAAGTGACTTGTTTTTTGCTTTTTTTTTCAAGACAGGGTTTCTCTGTATAGCTCTGGCTATCCTGGAACTTGCTCTGTAGACCAGGTTGGCCTCAAACTCGCAGAGATCCACCTGCCTCTGCTTCCCAAGTGCTGGGATTAAAGGTGTGTGCCACTACCACCCACTGTGACTTAAAATTTGATACACTAGCTTGATATGAAGCTGTTTATTACAAGGGAAAATGAACCTCTCACGCAGGGACTACAATGTATTACCTGTCTTATTGTGTCGCCTTCCTGGTTACTAACGGTAATCATTTTATCCTCACCACCCAAAGCAAGAAGATTCTCTGTATTCCAACATCCGCATGTGATTTTCTTAGTATGTTTTCCTGAAAAAAGAGACAATTTTTGCAGACACATGGACTTTTCAAAAGAATAAATAAAAAAATTTGTGATGCTAATCTTTCTGTGCAATGGGAACGAACAATCAAGGGATTCTACTCTCACCCAAGCCCTTGGTGACTATGCAACCTTATTTCAAACACTTTATCACAAAGCTAGAAATTAATATAATGGTACATAACTTTTTGTCTGGATTATATACACAGGCCCCAGCAGAGAACAATGTTTTCCTCTACAAATTATATTGATTTATCATAGAACCAAACTTGCAAAGGTAATATTTTAAGAAAGTTAATCCCAAAGTTACCGTTCAGCCTGTGGTCTCATAAATCCTTGATATAAGCTGACATCATTCACAATTTTAACTGCTCATGATAACTACAGTATAATCTACACTAACACTGAGGTTACCATGATAACTACAGTAAAATCTATGGTAACACCGTGGTTACCACGATAACTACAATATAATCTACAGTAACACTGGGGT